CAGGTGCTTACAGCTCACTGCCCTCTGTGCACTGCAGGTTCTTACAGCTCACTGCCCTCTGTACACTGCAGGTGCTTACAGCTCACTGCCCTCTGTGCACTGCAGGTGCTTACAGCTCACTGCCCTCTGTACACTGCAGGTTCTTACAGCTCACTGCCCTCTGTGCACTGCAGGTGCTTACAGCTCACTGCCCTCTGCACTGAGGGTGCTTACAGCTCACTGCCCTCTGTACACTGCAGGTTCTTACAGCTCACTGCCCTCTGTACACTGCAGGTGCTTACAGCTCACTGCCCTCTGTACACTGTAGGTGCTTACAGCTCACTGCCCTCTGTACACTGTAGGTGCTTACAGCTCACTTAGCTTCCTTAGGGAGCCTTATTAGAGAAAACAGAGATGTTCTATATCATGCCATTCCTAAGACTGGAATCTTCTCCTTCATATATGAATGGTGAGAAAAGTTAACATTCTCAGAATCACTCAGCACCTAACCCAGACCACTGTTTATCCACACTTCCAGTCCTAGACTGTGAGAAAGTACAGAAAGTTTGCTCATTTACAAACTCATAGCTTTAAGAGATCAACGTACGTCATTATTTCTGAGCAGGTATAAAATGTCACTTCAACAAATTCACTTTTTATGTGTAAAATGAATAAACAGAAGTGTAAATCAGGGATTTGTTAATGGTTCTTTTGAGCACCTACAGATGCTAGGCAAGAATTTATTTTAGTTATAATATACCTGGAATGTATGTATATGCTTAGAGTACTAACCCATTTTTCTGGTTGTCATATTTTAGAAAACATGAACATTCTGGAATACATCTGTGATCTCAAAAAATGATTTATAAGATAGTTTCAGGTCTTTCTGCCCAACATTTATGTTTTCTCCTTTTTTAATCTAGGAAACTCCATTTATCTTTTAAGCCTGAGTTTAAATGCAATGCCTCTTTACCCACCCTCATCTCTGGGCTCTGTAGCAGTCAGCCTACACTGAACCACACTTATTTGCTCTGTATACATCTCTTGCCCAAGGTTATGGCCCGTGTGAAGTCAACAGACTCCTGAGCATGGTTCCCTTCAGACTTCTTAGTTCTCAGCCCCTCCATCCACTGGAAGTTCCACTAGCTGGCTTGAGAGATCTTAGGATCTAGTGATGTAGACATGTGGCGTATCTCCACCTGTGACAACTTGGTCTGTAATTGGCTTTGTGGCCTTGCCTAGAAGCCCATTCCCTCTGGATTTGAGGCTGTCCTGAGTGTTCTCAACTCAGGCTAGTACATGGCTGGCAACAGATAACTATGTGCTAACTGAATGCAGGTCTATCCATGTCACTGCACCAGAGGGACCTTAGCTTCTGTCTACCTCTTCAGACAAGGCTGCTGGATCTTACAAGTACTCCTTGGGGATCTGACTTCATTTGATACATTTTCATTTTGCTAGGGTCACCACTGGGAGTGCCAGCACTAAAGGCAGACAGTAGAACTATTTGGACAGCACATGGGGAAGGTCCCCGACAAGAACAATGAGTGATCATAAGAAGAGAGGCAACATCAAGGGAGAACACAGGAGGAGTGCTCATCAAGGAGCACAGAGGAGCCTGGAGGCACGTGATACTATGATTTCAAGAGGCCCAAGCACACCACTGAGTGTCGAAGCCAAACACATAGTCACATTCAGTGATAGCACACAGTCAGCTCCGTTACTTTCTCAGCCCTAGAGGACACTGATATATACAAGGTCAGTTCGGCATCACATTCCAAACAGACTAGAATCTTAGAGAAAATGGTCAGCAGGCTGCCAAGAATACACATTTCTTTTAAAAATACAAATTTTTCACAGTTAGCACAGCCAGCAGTAACATTTCTGTTATCTAGACAATGAAGCCTTGTATTCCCAAGGGTACTAGGTACTCAAGGCACCAGGTACAGATAAACAGACATCATTTACAATGAGAGGCAACCAGGGGCCTGGGGTATTAAGAGGTTCTCTTGAGACTTACAGCCTCAGCTAGTTGGGTCCAAGCTACTCAAAGTGGACCGGATTCTCCAGAATTCTGATGAGAGTTCAGTACCCAGTCTGCCTTGGCTACCCTTCCAGTTGCTGGTCCAAGCTTCATCCTTGTGATTCTTATGGTTCTATTTAGTTTTGGTGTTCTTTGCTTGGATGTCTGGTGGCTAACTCTGGCTCTGCCCTACAGTTCCATCCTTGACTCTCAGATCGGCTCTAACATTCACCTCTGGCCACTTTGGAGCTAACTGGCCTCTGTCCACCTGGGTGTTAATTAACCACTGTCCAATCTCTGCTATGCTATGGTCAAGGTCAAGCTGAAGCCAGTAACATAATATGCCACACTAGGATTTGCTACTGGTATGTTGTATATGATTAAATGTGCCTGAATTAGGATCCCTTCAGGAAGTAATTCAATTATGTGTATTCCTGTAAGTCTGTATGGAGGTATGTGCACATGAATGCTGGTTCCCCCTTATGCCAGTGGCATGGGCCCCCTGAAGCTGAAATTACAGGCACTTACAAGCCACCCAAAGTGGAAGCTGAAACTGAACTTGAGTCCTCTCCAAGACTAATACACTATTTAGTCACTGACCTATCTCTCCAGCCCCTGGTGGTACTTCTTGACCTGACTTTTCTGTAACAGGAAACAGCGCACACTAGCATCGGGTCCTCAAACCCAAGGAGCAAAAAGCATCAGTTCCTGACGGTTATATTCACTCACAGAAGCCCTGAAAATCAGGAGCAGATGAAGTTGGAGGAGAGTTCACAACCTTGTGGGATGGAAATGAAGAGAAGCTGTCTACATTGAACATGAGCGCACAGTACCCGAGAGGCTAGGGCATCGGAAGCATCACCACTGAGACATCCAATGACCTGGGCCCAGGACTCTGCTCTGTTTGTTTGAGACTGGGTCTCACTATAATAATAGCCCAGGCTAGCTTTAAACTCACAATCCTCCTGTCTCAGCTTCCTGAGATATAGGCATGTGCTTGGATTCTGCATTTTTAATGACTCTTAGCTATTCCGATGCAGTGAGTCTTTGGGTCACTATATGAGGAATACCCAGTGCAGAGCAGCAATTAACACACACAGGGACAGTGAACACAAAACACGACCCATGCTTTCTCTGATGCCTTGATGTACTTTGCATAAGGCAGTCCATATGGCTGCCCCTCTCCTAATGGCCTTATTGGATTTGAGATTTGAGAGCCTTACTCTTACTGCTGTTGGTGAGGAGCTCAGGTTTAAGAGCAACTTGGTTTAGTGAAGACAGCGTCAGCTCCCAAGTGTCTAGAGAGAAGGCGTTTTAACAGGGTTTTGAGTAAACAGAGATACTAGGTTCTCTTTGTCTTTTGTCTGAGGGAGAAAGGCTACAAAGAAGAGTATGAAATTTCAGCAAGATACTATTGTCCTTCAGTGTTACCCTATAATCTTTTCAAGTTTTATGATTTTGCCGAAATTAAACAAGTAAAATATTTTAAATGTATAACAACCATCATGTCTTGAAATAAGGAATAGAAACATCTATTTTACCCATAAAATCTCCATGGCAACACACGTATCACTGGTGAGGAAGACACATACCTGAATGCCCACGTACTTTTGATGCCCGGGAGCCAGGCGCACCAAGAGTGGTGGAGCCCAGGAAACAGCGCAGGCTGTGCATTTGACTGGCTAGGCCAAGTTTCCCTGGGCACGTCCCCAAGCAAAACTGGAGGGAGAGCTCAGGACAATGGCTTAATCAGGAGGATTCTGATGGGACAGGATGCGTTTGGAAACTAAGATGACAGAGATATTGATGAGCTATGAGGTCCAGGAGGCCTGTCTGATGTTTGAGATAATGGAGTCTCCATTTGTTTCAGGACGATGCCTTCCTTTTCGCACCGACGTGGTTGATGGCTTGCAGGGGATGTATGGACTGGCGGATGGAGACACTAAGGAGTTGAGAGTCCCACTCGCGCTGCGGCTGTGATGTGTGTGTGTGCTCATTCTTTTCCTAGGAGGATCTTTATTCTTTTCTCCCAAATCTCATAACTGGTTATGCAGATGTTTAATTGGGAAGAATAGCTATGAAATTACTGTTTGTTTTTTTCCTTTCAAACTTTCCTATCTGGGCCACTTATTGTCTCTCTTCTCTATTTACAAATGCTCTAAACATTATAAAATTAAAGTTTAATTAGTTTTTAAAACTAAACTTTGCTAGGAGGCTAGGGTTTTTTTCTTTTTTCTTTCTTTCTTTCTTTCTTTTTTTTTTTTGAGATAAGGTTTCTCTGTATACTTTTGGTGCCTCTCCTGGATCTCGCTCTGTAGACAAGGCTGGCCTCGAACTCACAGAGATCTGCTTGGCTCTGCCTCCTGAGTGCTGGGATTAAAGGTGCATATCACCACAGCCCGGCCCAAGGCTAGGATTTTTAAAAAGGTTGTTGTGTCTCAATTGAAAGCCTGGTGTACTATAAGAAGGCTAATATCAAGAGGAGCTGAAATTCAGAAAAAGAAGTAGAATCAAGTTAGCTGAGTGAGGTGGATGAGCTCCATGGAGGCAGTGGGACACAGGACGTGCAGAGGGAGCATGCTCAAGCCAAGAGAAGTTAGGAAGAGAGAAGACTCCTTCCTGGAATACCAGAAGACTCAAGAAGTTAGGGGCAGAGAGAATCTCCAGAAAACGCCTCATGAGGTAATTAAGGCTGAACTATTGACCAGAGCGTTGGACAAACCCTCCCCCATTTTAACCACGGTTTGTTTTATAGGTGAAACCAGAAAGGCATATTTTATCCAGACCATGTTACGATTCACTCAACTCTGACCCTTCTCTATGGAATGCCTTTCAATGTCTCTTATAGAAGAAGTGATACCACTTTAATTTCCAGCTCCATCCCCATCTGGCCAGGAAGAGGATCAATTAATATTATCATGTTTTGTCTTCAGGGCCTCTGACATCCCCGAGGACCAGCCTGTGGGACAGTGTGTCATCACAGCGCTTCTCAGCCCAGACGGGGAGAGAGCGGGATTCAGGACAAGGCCAGCTCGTGTAACACAGCTCAGAGCATACCACACAACTTGCTTCGAGGATGTTGGGCATTGTGCTTCATTAGGAAACAAAATATAAGCTTTCCACACCATTAGGGATGACTTTAGGAGTGGAAAGCACATAAGACGATGCCTCACCTCATCAACAATGCACTGCAGAAGCTGGAGAGGCTGCAACGGGAAGAAGAGAGGGAAAAGTATTAGCCTGTGTGCAATGTCTTTACAGTGGAGTGGAAAGAAAAAAATCATTAATGCAATAAAATATAGCAAGATTAATCAACAACAGCAAACTCTTATAAAAACATGGATGCTCAGGACGTCCTATTATTTCTAATGGTACCTAATCTAATACAGGCAGTTAAAGGTTTGCATTTTCTTCAAAATGCAATTTGCTAAGTTTAAAACAAGGCATTCAAGCATGCAAAGGAAGCAGCCATCAGGAAAAAGAAAAGTGAATTTTTTTTCTGAACTCATAAAGCTTACCATTAAAGATCCCTGGTTTTTCTGAATCTGAAAAAAGGCAATATGTAATTAGCATGTCATAATCAAAATGACTCACTTGGACACATTATGATCACTGAGAGAAAATTATTGCATTGCTGGTGGCAATTTGTGGGCATGTGTTAACACAATTTACATAATGAAAATACACAAATGTTAATAGCTCGCTTCTCATTTATAGGCGAAAGTCAGCAGAATGTTAATTTCACACAACACTTTTTAGTACCCTCCAGGTTGTATTAGAATAGGGAGAAAAACCATAATCCATTTCAAAAGGCTGTTTACGATTCAGATATAAATAATGTTTTATATTGCTAGATTGTGAACACTGGGCTTAATGTTGCAATCATTGCTAATGTTATGAAGCTCACTCTTTTTAAATTAAAAACCGATTTATTTAAAATTGAAATTAAATCATAGTCAGAAATTAGAATTTTGGATTCCTGCCAGTGTCTGCTCACAATCCCCTATTTTGTGAAGAAAACTTTAATTATGTGGTTGAAGTGTTTGCCTGGAACTAAGGAGTGGGGTGAAAACTCTACCCTTTTCAAAGTTCTTTTGGACTGCTTCTCGAGCAGCAAGGCTCTCTGGGAAAAATCAAATGCATGAGGTTTTACAATGCTTTGCTAGGGTGCCTGCCCCGACTCGGCGTTCTGCGGGCAAGCTGCTCACATCTAACACAGACAGTTAACCAAACGTGACAAGATCAATCAACTTCAACTTGCTACTCAAAACAGTAAACACACCACTGTCCCCCCCAGACACCTGCAGTTAATGGACCCAAACCCAACGGAAACTGAGTCCTAGGTCCTGCATTTTTGTAAACAGAAAAATTTTAGGGAGTAAATGCTACCAGGGCAGGTCAGTTGTTTTCTGGGATCCGTGAGCTCCAACCAGCCGGTTAGATGGGAAAGTGTAACATTCCATGTTTTCCCCTAGTGCTGGGAATCAACCAGGGGCCTCAGACACGATGGGCAGATGTTCCACTGAGCTGCATTCCAGGACCCTTCATGTGTTTTTAGTGGCACCGTGTGTGTGCTGTATGCATGTGTGTACATGTGTGAGGCCAGAGGCTGACGCTGGGGTCTTCTCGATCACTCTCCACCTTATCTTTTGAGACAGGGTGTCTCACTGAACCTGGAGCTCCCGTGCCAGTTACACTGCTTGGCCATCAAACCCTGGGAGGCATCTGTCTGCCCCGCCAGCACGAAGATTACAGGTGCCGGCCACAGCACATGGCTCTTACATGGGTGCTGGGGATTTGAACTCAGGTCCTCATGCCTGTGCGACAAGCACTTTACCCACTGAGCCTTCGAGATACTTAAGTTCTTTCCTGCACATACTTATCTGGCCAGCACAACAAGCCCTAAGGCATGCAGGGATGACAGTCTCTATGCTGGGAAACCAGGCCTCCCAGAAATGGTGCAGGTTTGGGTTGCAGGCCCGGGTCTGGTGGTGCCAGGCCTTTTCAATGTTCCTTCACCTGGAGGATACCTGCCTATGACCACAGCATTCCTTAACAAACCAACTGGACTGCATGTTTGCACTTGCATGGTATGGTTGTCAAGGGTGGATGCTGGGTGGATGACTTCCTCTTGCATCCGTGTGGCTGACCAGCAGTCCGTCCCCTCCCCCAAGTCCTGCTTTGGAGCCCAGGCTGACCTAGAACTCACTATCCTCCTGCTGGGGTTACAGGTATTGTAGACAGTAGTTCCCATGCTCTGTCTCAAGTGGCCAAGGTTCCTGCTCATATGTCGCCACCTTTCAGTCACCACACAGGAAGCAGTTCCAGGCTGCTGAGAAGTTTAGTAAAATCTCCAAGAGCCAGGTCCCCTCTCCTACGGTGTTTGCTTTTCTTTTTTTCTTCTAAGCACACACAGGTAGCCCGATGCGCAGTATTGAAGAGGACAGATTCACTTCACAGCTGAGCTGTCTGCAGTGGACAAAACACTAGGAATCCATTTTCGACATCAAAGAGCATCTTTACTCACAGATTTCCAAGAGTCGGGAGATCACAGGATTCACGGAGGAAAATCTGGCAAAGATTCTATGAGGTGCCCTAAAGTGAGGTTCGGGTTGGTTTGTGGCACTACCTTCAGGAACATGAGTTGTGTGGACCGGACAGAGGAGGAGGACTCCAAATGACCCTGGATCTTACAGGGCTCTACTGTCTTATCCTGCCCTGTCTTACAGGTTAGAAGCAGAATACCTTGAAGACACCTTAATACTGCACTACATTGACTGGGCCAGTGAGGTGGTTCAGCCGGTAAAGGCTCTTGCCAGCAAGCCCGAAGACCTGAGTTCAATCCTCAGAACCCTCACAGTGGAAGGAGAGAAGCCCCTCTGGCAACTTCCCTTCTGACCTTCACATGCTCACCGTGGCACACGTGCCCATACACACACACACACAAATAAATAAATGTAATTAAACTGTCCTATATTAAGGCTGCTACAAGGAAGAGAGGGATTACCACTGGTCCCTCTCTTTTATGACATAACAATCCAGTTTTGCCCAGGATCTTAGAGATGCTATGCCAGGGTTTTATTACAGTCTTGATAGTAACATACTACAGGATGTCAACTTCATGCATTTTGTATTAAGGTAGCAGAGCCAGAACCTGAAATTGATTCAAAATGCTTATGGTACTCAATTACTTCTGAACATTGTTACACAATGCAGTGACTTATGTCTTCCATTTCACATGGGTCTGATGTGATGATGCAACATCACCATAATTGATTCATTTTCTCAATTAAATAAAGCTACTGTGCGTTTCTTTATAGGAGTGCCACACAGACCATGGAGTTAGATGTATTATCTCCTTGCCTTCTCTCAGATATATTGCCTTGAAGGCTATGTTCTGTTCCTCTGTTAATTCCACCAGAAAAATTTAATGCCACAGTCATATTTTTCAAGTTCTAAGCTGCCATGCGCACGATTGTATTTATATTAGGCATATTTTTCACTGCTAAACTCTTTGTTGTTTACCTTTTTCAAGATCATATTACTGTCTGGGCACAGTGACTATAAAACAGATCTGAACCAAGTCAACCTCCAGCCGCCGCCTCTGCTTTGGTGCACAGTTCATGTGAAATCGAAGCCCCTTGTTTATAACACACTGAAAGCGGCACTGACGCGGTATAAAATGCCAGCTTCATGGACACCTATCTTTATTCTGGGCCTGCCTTTCTAAAGGCCTGGCTGTGAGAGCAGAGTTCAGAGGTGCACGGTCATGTTGTTAGCATTGATGTACAGCCCGCGCCTGACAACATCGCCCACACCCTTTACAGTCAGCCTGTCTAAGCCCACGCTCTGCTCGTACATTCTGTTTGTGTTGAGTGGTTTCTGTGGCTAACTAGGACTTTGGGACAGCTAACAGAATGTAACTGTTCCAGACAAACACTTCACTCATCAAGCTCTGGAATTGGTGGTGTTTTGATAGATTAGTGAGATGAACTTCCTTCCTCTTCTGTTTTTTTTTTTTTTTGTCAATTGTCAGATCCAAGATTTAAAGCCCCACTAATAGGGGAGGTAGGTCTCCTTCTGTTGAAGGTAGACCCTCGTATGTTTAAACAGGATGGATGGAATGCTTGTTAAGGAGGCAGCCACAAGTACTAGCCGGGCTCTGCTGACTGCATTAACATTTATTATAGCTTTCTTTGCATGATCCTTACAGGTGGCAATTAGAAATCCCCATAACATGACTCATGACTTTGGAAAGTGATCCTGGGAATGGGATTGTTAATGTAAAGGCTCAGAGGTGAGGCCTCAACTATGGTGCTGGTGCTAAAAAAAAACGATTTTGGGAGTTTCTGCTCCCCTCTCTGCAGACAATGGCAAAACAGACCTTGCTAGCAGGTCTTTCCCATCATCTTCAGAGGCATAATCAGAAAATCAGAGTGGATCCACTCTGGAGCCGAGGGAGGACACCAGCCAGGCCTTCATTCCCCTCTGAAATGATGACTTGCCCCGCGGCTCTTGTCGGAGAGATTTATGGGTGACCTAGGTCACATCTTCCAATATCAGTTGACAAATTTTCTCTTTACATATTTACTGCTTTTCAAGCTTGTGTTATTTTCTCTTAGATAGAAAAAAAAGAAGTCTGAAATTACATGGTATGGTTGGAATTTTTAAAGAATAGCAGCATCATTTTGTGTGACTTGAGCTATATTCCAGTCTTCAGTGTTAAACTGGTTTTTTCTTTAATTTTATCCCAAATGTAAGGATCTGTAGACACTTTAAAGATACTCTGTTCAAATCTGACACATTAAGCTACAGCCTCAGCTAAATCTACAGTGATTATGGTGAATTGGGATTTTATATGCTACATGAAGAATTAAGACCTAAAGAATTCTTCAATGGAAAGGACCTCAGAGATGCTCAAGCTCAATCTGCTTATTTTGCCTTTATGGATATTGAGGCTCAGAGAGGAACAATATTCAAGGTCCCAGATACAGCCTGGCCTGACAGCTTGCTCAGGAGGCTGCTATCTGGGAAAATGCATGAACCTGAGAACTAGAAAGATCCATGCAATTCCAGCCAGATACCCCTTGCCTCAAAATTCCCCTTCCTGCATTGGGGCTATGGACCATTGTCTGCACAGTTCAGGGTCCTGTATTGGGGCTATGGACCATTGTCTGCACAGTTCAGGGCCGAAACAAGAGGATCCCAAAGCCTCTCTGAAGATGGTGTCCCCACTCAGGAGCTGGGCCTTCTGTCTGTGCCAGGGAGAAATGGTCCCAGCTTTAGTGCTGTGCCGGGTGCTCAGAGGGAATATGCCACCCCCAATCCATTATAACTATAAAGCTTCCCGCAAGGACACAGTTTACTTCCATAAGCTGTAACCTGTTGCCTCATACCACCAAAAGCTTCCGAACGACTATTTTACAAAAAGGAATAAATGAAATTTACTGGGCCTAACTATGAGTGGGGACATCCATAAAGTACCAATTTTCCTGAAGGCAATATAAGACAAAATAAAAGATAACATACATTGTTTCTAACGAGCTAATATAAACACAATAGCTTTGCTCAGCGCCTCTTCCCAGATCACCAGCCTTTATCCTTGTTCCAAGTGTTATCACTCTCGGGAGTCTTACTATATCTTGTACAGGGTCTAAAAAATGTTAAGTCATAGAGGAGTTATCAGACAGATCCCAATCAGGGCAGAATGCGCCTAAAATTCTACAGTCTAAGATCCACTTTCATGGCTGGAGGTGGTGGCAACATGCTTCGAATACCAGCAATTGAGAGCCAGAGGCAGGTTTATCTCTGTGAGTTCAAGGCCAGCCAGGGCTGCACAGCGAGAAACCCCCCTTCCATGTATGCATGTATGCAAAAAGTATTTGAATAAATAATTAAAACAAAAGTTTAAAACAAGTTTTAAATTCAGTTTAAGATCCTCTCTCTGTCACCTTCTCTCTGGCCCACAGCTCAGC